GTATTTTTAATCGTTTGAAAGTTCATTCTTATTTCTTTGTTTACAGGCGGTAAAAGAACGAATTAATCGCGCGTTGAATCAGACTATGTATTTGATTAACAAGAAGGAGATTGACCGTTTGACGCAAGAATTTATACTTTTGGGCACAACTGGCAATGTATGTGTTTAAACGTATCGAATTACTATTTTACATTTTATACTCAACCTTTCGTGTATGAAAATAGGTTTATACGGTTGTTATCACAACACGTCCTTCGTGCACTTGCCCTGACTTCCTAAAAGGTAATATTCTAATTAATTTAATAATTGATAGGTCAGTTTTATTAATAATCGCTTTTATTTCTATCAGGATTCCAGTGCAAGCACATTGTAAGCTTCAAATTTTCGCGTTTTGAGCATGGTTCAAGAGATTTACGTATTTGCTATTTTGCCTTTCAGTTATTCATATTTTTAAGGGTGTTAAAGGTCAAGAAGAAAAATCCGGTCATTTTCCAAAAAGCGCTTTTGACATCCGAATTGAGAAATATCTTTTCGCATGCTTCTCCCGATAGACATATTATAGTAATAAAATTCCTTAATTCATTTACTCATTCATCACGCATATCACTTGTTCGCGGGCCTAGAGGCATTTGCACCAAAGGACATGCATGGGGTAAGCGTTTTTGACTAATGGAAAAAATTTTATCGCAATTCCATGTATTAATTGACCTTGTATTTCCATTTACAGATCTCTGCTCACTGACGTTAGGCATTATATCAAACAAATTTGTGAGATCCTGTAGTGTATGTAACCGTAAAATAATCGCAACTTCTCATCCGCGCGGGCCATCAGATTACCAACCTATCGAATCCACTGTTTTAGTTAAAGCAATTTTTGCAGCTTGTGAAAAATGTCTCTATTGTGGAAGCAATTTCATATTCCGTTGTTAAAATTGCGTTATTATCAAAAATAATCCTGACACAACACCGTGTAACCACATGATCACGAACGATTGGTTATTACAAAAATTGAAAAATAAACATTTTTTTAAACGTTGACTAATGATTATATGTAATATCGTGTGGACATCAATAAAGCTTTACTAATTTATTTTTCGAAGCTCAATGAAAAACCAATGCAATATGAATATGCAACATCAATGATCTATCTAAATTGGTAAAAAGTTATCCATGATATCAAACAGTCGAACATAAAGTTTATAATAATATGTAAAGTCTTTTTAGATTTGCAAAAACTATGCTTCATCCTCTTGATAATGATAATGCGATGTTCCTTCAAATAATGTTTGTGACATATCTACGATGCCTATAACTGAAATCTAAAATCGCAAATGTTAATTAATATCAGAATAACTATTTAACCTCTTTAAATATTTATGAATTCATTAGAGCACCTCTAGCGTATGTCATCCCCTGGGCTCTAGCAAGATTCAGGTAACCTTCGTCGCTCATTTCTCCATCGGCATCAACTTTCCATTCAACACGACAATAGACGCATGTAATCTTCAATCGAAATTGATCATAAATTAAAATTTCGTGCGGAGACGATTAACAAAAAAGATTTAATTATCGACTAACCTTCCTATAATAGCCTTTTGACTTTCCCCATTTCACAAAGCACTCCTTGTGAATATTGTTTCCACAACCAGATTTACACCAGACGATCTTATATCTTTGTTTTTCATCCAGAGGTTCGTAGCTATATTATCATAATCAAATATAATAATACTGTCACATTTTGCTGATGCACTTGCATAACAGCTATTAATGAATAGTACCAAATTGGACAATCTCCTTCAATAGGTCGACGTTTTTGGGGATCACATTTCCAAGCCGGCTTAGTACCGTTAACTATCGCCTCGTATCTTTTCCGGGCTCTTGTGCTTGCCTAACAAAAGAGTGATTTTAA